CACTAATTTCTCTTGACAATGTGGCTATTAGAAAATTTATAATTACATGCATGGCTTGCTTAATAATTCTATTGAGTAACAGCTCTAAAGCTTCCACTTATTCCTTTTAAAAGATAATTAAAATGTTTATATTCAGCCAGTGCCATGGCTTAATGGACTGGGTCTCCGCCTGTGGCCTTGGCATCCCCTGTAGGGGACGCAATAGGGTCCTGACAACTCTGCTTCTAGTCCAGCTCCCTGCTAATGGCTTGAGAGGGCCCAGAGGAGGCCCTGAATCCTTGGGCTCCTGCATGTGTGTGGGAGAACTGGAGGAAGCTCCTGGCTCCTGGCTCCTGACTTTGGGCCCACCCAGCCATGTGGCCTTGTGGTTATTTGGGGAGTGGATATGTGGATGGAGGACAGCTGTCTGTCCCCTCTGTAACTCTACCTCTCAAATATATCCTGCACATTGTTTAAGGAACTAAATATTTTTACAAGAATTGCAGTGAAAATTAGAAGTCCTGCCATTCCAAACTCTCCCCTGTCTCCCAGAGGCAGTTTGTACCGGTTTCCTTACCCAATTCTTCTGGTCTTATGTCTATAGTATTGTGCTTTTCTTGTTGTTTTTTATTTTCTACTAACATGCTAGAGGATAAGATGAAGTTCTAGTTCTTTCTGTACCACATGCCCACAAATTTTCTAATCATTGATCTTTGCATCTTTTCAGTTTGATATCATCACTTTATTAATATGGCAGTAATCAAAACTATGATTCCTCTGTATTTCTAGCTCCATGCCTTGTTTTTCCTGGAATTTGTAACTGTAATAATTGTCCTAATTTCCTATATATTTGCCATAAATTAACTGAATCTTCCCACAGTTGTGTGCATTTCTTCTCAAAACCTAGAAGTACATAAGGTATTTTATCAGTTTTAGTGTCTGGAAGAAATCTTTTCGGGAGCTTTTCCTCTGCTCTGGATGAGTTGCATATCTGCCATTTCAGAACTCTAACCTCAGCCTCGAGCTTCCTTCCGGGGTCATGGAATCCAGGAAGCAGAGTGCCTGATACCCAGACGGTCATTTGGCCGAGTTTGGCAGGCTTTTTTTGTTTTTGCTCAGAATTATGAATTAATTATACCATTCAAAATTTTACAATTGCCTTTTAGAAGTTTCTTATCTCTTTTAATTTATCTGTATAAAGTCTTGTAAGATGGTTCTTTGGAGCTTATTGTCCTGATATTTCATGGTATGCTTCTTGGTATGAAGTATCTTTTTAATTATTTTGTATTCATTTATCTTTCTAAGTTTGGAAATTTGCTTTTTCCAATTAATGGAGATTTTGTGAATTATTTCTTCAGCTCTTTCATTCTTTTTCTCTTATTTCTGAATGCTTTACAGTTCAAATGTTAGACCTTAGCTCCTGATTTTCTTACCTGTTTTTCCAACTCTTTGTGTATGTCTTTGGTTGAGGTTCAAAGAAATCAAGCGAGACTCCTAGGCAAGTGAAATGTCTTTATTCTTCGGTTAGGGAGCCACTTCTTGCCATGAACAAAGAAGTACCTCAAACAAAAGAAGTTTATTTATTTATTTACTGGAAATTCAGATATACAGAGAGGAGAGACAGAAAGATCTTCTGTTTGTAGATTCACTCCCCAAGTGACCGCAAGAGCCAGAGCTGCTCCAATTCAAAGCCAAGAGCTTGGAGCCTGGAGCCTCTTCTGAGTCTTCCACACAGGAGCAGGGTCCCAAGGTTTTGGGTCTTCTTCCACTGCCTTCCCAGGACAAAAGCAGGGAGCTAGATGGGAAGCAGGGCCATCAGGATTAGAACCTGCACCCATGTGAGATCCCAGCATGTGCAAGGTGAGAATTTTAGCTGCTAGGCTACCGCACCGGTAGCCAATTGGGGTTTTTTTATAGTAAGTATCTACGTGACAGTGGGCATCTGTGATGGTGGGCTTCTATTTGACACAAAGCAGAAAGCAGGTAGTGTAGATTAACAATTTATTAATACAGGTTTCTGACCTTATTACTTCAGTGCGAACAATAGTGTACAGAATGCTATGCCATAAATCTAACACTCCCAGAAAGTGCCTAGCTCCTATTTGCTTCTTGGTGTTTGAGGAAGCAGTGTTCTGATAACAGGGTGCAGGTGAGTCTCTGGAGGGTCCGCACTTCCAGGCACACAATTACCTTTACAGTGAAACTTTCAGTCTTTTTGCTCTGCTTTATGGACATTTAAAAATAATCGTTAACCTTATGTTTTCATCCCTGTTTTGAACTTTTGTTTTGAGATATTTCATATTTAGTATTCAAAAGTCTTTTTGTCAGCATATTCCAGTTTTGATTACTGTTCCTTTTGCCTGTTTTGGAGGGATGTTGCATTCTGTCTTTATTTTATGAATGCAGTATTTCTCTTTATGTTGATATAAATGATAAAAAGGTTTTCACAAGTTTTCATTTTCTTACACATTGTGAATTTCCAAAAATCCCCAAAAACTCCCATTACTTTTTAGGACTATGTAAAAGTAGATGAAATACTATTTTATCTGTAATGCTTTCTTTTCTCACATTTTGTGACTCACACACGGGCTCACACAGTGTCCCTCCCTAATGCTAGAGAGAAATGTCCCGAGACCACCAGTGGATTCCTGAAACCACAGATCATGCTGAATTCTGTTTTTTCCATGCATGCTTAACCTATATGATATTTACAAATTAATTACAGGTAGCCTATTAGTAAGTACTAATAAACAATTACAACAATACACTGTAAAAATTATTTGAAAGATTAATTGTTCTCTTGAATAAGTCAAGCACAGTATGAACATCTTCTGACTGCAGCTGAGCAGTGCCGTGGTAAAGGAGGACTGCTGTCAGCTCCGTGAGTGACGGGCCCTGGGAAGCTGACTGCACACTGTGTGGGAGTTAGCCACTGCGGCTCCTTGCTGCTGAGTTCTTAGTGTCCCTGTCTGTCGATCTTGCTCTTGAGATGCCTCAAATTAAATCTGATAAAGTCTCATTTTTTTGTGGAGGTATGTGCCATCAAAGAAGCAAGTTAGGGAAGAAAGCTGGGAGCTTAATATTCGATGTGTAGTGTTTCAATGAATCACCTTATTTGTGATATTTACGCTTAATCGTACATCACAGCCCTCGCAGCCAGAGACACTTCATTTTACATTGCTCTGGATTAAACCGTCCTGGAGTGAAAGTGTCTTGGGTGCTTGGAAAGAGCGTTCGTAGGGTGCTGATTTGCAGGAGGTTTCAGTTCTCTGTTTCTCAGCTGTATCTCTGCATCCTTTCCAGAGGAAGGTTGAATTCAATCAGAGTCTGTGCCGTTTAGAGCTTCTGTCATAAATGGTGCTGCAGCCCTGTTTCCCCACCGATGTTTTATGCTTCTGTTCGCTCATCTCTGGCTGTTGCTTTCATTTGGGGGCTGAAGCAGCAAGCAGATGGAAGACCTTCTCTACCTATCCTTTTCTCTGTAAAATTTTCCTTTCAAATATAAATAAATATTTTTGAAAGTTTAGTAAGAAATATGCTTAAACATGATAAGAATATGGAATAACACATTATTATATAAACCAGTAATATTGTTACCAAATAATATATATTATAAGCAGTTGTAAGAGAAGGCTTCAAAAATATGTTAATGGAAATGTTATCTCTTTTGTTTTGCTGCACCTTTTTCGAACCCCCTTAATGCATGCCTTTTTTAATATGGCCTGTCCTGTATTGGAGTAGGTTTGCTTAGAGCAGAATCACCAAAATCACATGAGGAATGTGTTGATCTACAATAACTCTGAGCTATAGGAGATTTTGAGTGAAATGTATATTCTTATAGGACCACTGTTTGGTCCTACTGACCAAAATGGGGAACATAACTAGAGACACCAATCTAATCAGCACCCAGAAAAAGAAATTCCCAAAGACCATAAAATTCTTTCCTGTCCCTTTTAAAGTTTGTGGTCTTCCACCCATAGGCACTATTTTTCACTTGTAGCCTTAGTATGAAGTCTGTTGTATCTGACTTTATTTTTTTTTTAACTCAAATAGTTGGTAAAATTCTTTGATGTTGTCAGCTTTAGAGATTTTTTTATCATTTGCAATTTTCTCTGTGCATTACTACATTCTCTGGGTGTATATTTCTTATTTAGTCATTCTCTTCTAAGTGAATATTTAGATTGCTTCCACCTTTCATGTACTATAAATGTTGACTATCATCTGTGCCATGATTTGAACATAATTTGGCTCCCAAATTCATAAGAACTTCCAAGCTCCAAAGTTTAAGTTAATGACATTAAATGGGTAGAAAGTCTGTTTATTATGTTTAAAAGATGGACCTAATTGGTGGTCCTAAGATCATTTGAGAGACGTGCTGCAATAAATTGATTATTGGGAAAGAGTTGGTTATAAAAAAGCAAGGGTAACTTCTGGTCTCTCCAGGTAGCTTGTTGCATTCCTCTCCACATGCTCCACCATTGCCGTCTGCTCTCCACCACCTTTATTACCATTGAGGCTGTGTGATCTTGAACCTTCACAGCTGCTAACTGATATCTCTAAATGCCTAATGGGAATGTGGTGATACAGCTTGGATACACTGGACAGAGGGGTGATTCACGAGACTTCATCATACTTCTCGGTACAAAACTGAAAACTTGAGAATTGCTTTTTCTAGAATTTTCTTTTTAACTTCTGACGTGGATAAGTTAAACCACTAGAAGGGAAACTGGGTGGAGAGGAGCTACTATGCATGTTTTTGACATGTGTATGTACCCAGTTTCTTAGCTGTATACTGCAAGTGGAATTGTGAGGCAACAGAGTGGATGAATGGTTTTACTTCTGTAGAATTTGCCAGTTTTCCAAACTATACCAACTTAAGCCTGTAGCAACAGTATATGAGAGTTCCCGTTGTCATTTCCATCAGTGTTTAACCATCTAGTAAGTGTTGGTGTCATTATGGAAATCAATTTCATTTTTCTAGAGAATAGTGTATTTAAATACTGTTTGTTCCTGTTTTGCAGAAATGGAACAAGAACCACAAAATGGAGAACGTGCTGAGATTGAGATTATCAAGGAAGCATACAGGAAGGCCTTTTTATTTGTTGATAAAGGACTAAATACAGATGAGTTAGGTCAGAAGGAGGAAGCAAAGAGTTACTATAAGCAAGGAATAGGACACCTACTGAGAGGAATCAGCATTTCATTATCAGAGACTGAACACACTGGCCCTGGGTGGGAATCTGCCAGACAGATGCAACAGAAAATGAAAGAGATGCTTCAGAATGTACGCACCAGGTTGGAAATTCTGGAGAAAGGTCTTGCCACTTCTCTTCGGAATGATCTTCAGGACGTGCCCAAGCTATACCCCGAATTTCCACCTAAAGACATTTGTGAGAAGTCGCGAGAGCCTCAGCCCTCTACTTCATCTCAGCAAGCTGAAGTAAACGGAAGCACTTCAGCTGCATGTGCAGGGTCGCTCGCTTTTCCTGCTTCTGCATCCTTACCGTCTACAAGTCGTCCAGCCGAAGCCCCCCCTGCTTACACTCCTCAGGCTGCGGAGGGCCACTACACAGTGTCCTATGGCACAGATTCTGGGGAGTTTTCTTCAGTTGGTGAAGACTTCTATAGAAATCACTCTCAGCCACCTCCGCTTGAGTCCCTAGGGCTAGATGCAGATGAGTTGATTCTGATACCAAATGGAGTTCAGATTTTTTTTGTAAATCCTGCAGGAGAAGTTAGTGCCCCTTCATATCCTGGGTACCTCCGAATTGTGAGGTTCTTGGATAATTCTCTTGATTCAGTCCTGAACCGTCCTCCTGGATTCCTTCAGGTAAGCCAAGGGAAAGTGTAGACAGAATCTGAAATCTGTGTAGAATATACCGATTCTGTTTGTTAGAATTTGTGTCCATTGTAATTTCTATTTTATAATATATTTCATGAATTTTATGAGTGTTGATTATCTACCATCTTTGAACGTGTTTTTCTGCTTTCTAGGATATTAAGTTTTATGTTGGTGTTAAATTTGTGATGATAGGACCTAAAGAAAGTCAAAGTCCTTTTTAAATTCTTAATTCTTTATCTGAGTAAGAAACAGAATAATTTTAATTTTGAAAGGAATTTGTAATTTATATTAGTGTGTAACTGTGAAATCCGTGAATGTTATCAAGAGCCAGCTGAGGACCTGAAGTGTCTAGGCTAGGTAAGGGTTCTCACCCAGAAGCATGATGAGAACCTCTGCAACATCTGGAATAAATAAGTAAAATAAATAAATGTCTGCCGACATTGTTTTCTGTTCACAGTTGAGTGGTGATAGAGGGTAGGCTTGTTGCCAAACATTTACAAAGGATAGCTACTACCAAAACAAAACAAAAAAATCCAGTCTAAAATTTCAGTCATTCTAGGGTTAAGGAACCCTGATCCAAAGGTAGAGACTGCAGTGATAATTTAAGACACTGTGCATCAGTTCAAGCAGATAAATCTAGAGTGTGATTGGTCCAGATGCAGAAATTGATCCTAAACAGAGGCTGGTTCTAGGGCATTGCTGTGGATGTAGTAAGATATTCTAAAGGTGATGATCCAGCAACAATCTGATTCTTCAAAATGTAGATTCAGGGAGATGGAGCCTTGAAGTCTCAGTATACATATAGATTGAGTATTATCAAAGGAGTTCACATTGAAGATATGACAAGTGTCTGCATTGTCCAAAGTCCACATGATGTTTTAATAAAAATGGTTACAGGGATGCATGGAGGAGATACTTTGAAGCATTACTGGAAAAAAAAAAAAGGAACTTATTCCTGGACAGGAAGAGTATTTTGACTCCTATGAAGTATTTTAGGGAAGGTTAAAAAGGGTTATTTATTGATTGAGCTTGGGGGTGAGATTCAGGGACTTACAAAGCAGAGCACCTATGGCTGATCCAATAATAGGGTGGGATTGTAAACACACAGTTAAAAAATCTTTGGGTCCTAGAGGTGTGGAAAGTTATATGAACATTGGAAACCTGGAGCATGGTTTGATGGGCTCAATCATTAAAATTAATTGTACTGTAGTAAAAATTTGTCCTTTGATCTGAGAAAAAATTTTTTTCTTGTATCTCTTTGGTCCTAAATGAAAAATACAGTTGCAACCCAAAGTTTAGTTTGGGTCTCCTTAATAGGCTGGTAATTTTCATACATTTGGGTATATGTGACGTGACATCTTAAAAAGGTGTTAGCCATGTGTGTATGCTGAATGAATGTTTTTAGCGTGTAAAAAATAATAATCAGTTGACTGTTAGAAGATAAATATTTCTTATGCTGTAAAAATCACTATTAATCTATTTAGAAAGTTAGAATAAAGTTTTTTGGTTTTAAACAGGCTTACATGGAATTCTGAACTAATAAGAAGGTTTTCCTTTTGGTTTTAATACATTGTTAAAGCCCATTACATATATATTAAGTTCATAAATAATGTGCATGTGGCATTGTTTTCTGAAAGAGAAATTGGGAGAAATCAGCCTGTGGTGGCTGAGCTGACCAAGCTATAACTTAAGAAAGATCTGTATGTTGGATTTTGTTTTTGTTATACTTTGGAAAATACAGTGATCAGTTGTATTGTAATCTGCGTGAAGTTTTAGAAATAGTGGCTTCTGAAACAGTTAGAAAGGAGGATAGTTAAAGAAAAAAAATCTGAAAATGTTTAAGTACTTTCCATATTTATATTCTATTGATCATATGTCGTGGCAGTTTATTAGTTTTCCATCTTTATGAAATCTCCCACGATCCTTGTGTTCGTTGCATGAAGTTTTGGTAATGGAATAACTACTCCTCCTAAGTTTCTCAGTAGTAAGGCAGTATTGTGGATATTGGCACAGTTATATTTTAGTATTTCAAAAAATTTGTTACATGTTAGAAATGAGTTGCTAGAATATCTAATTTAATCTTAATTTATTCTTAATTTAGATAGCCAAGATGTGAGTGTACTGGAAAACTGACTTTCCCAGATGACGTTGCAGAATATGTTGTTTTGCTTTAAATTCACAATAGGTAGTGAACCCAAAATATAATTTATTCTAATTCTGTAATATCTGGCTCTGTTGCAACTTGCAGAAAGCATTTCGCATTATAACTGTTGGGTCTTTAACTAAAATAATTGTTTCTCTGGTTCATCACACCACAAGTACTTGCTCCATTTTTTAGTTATTTACTCACACCTTGGTTGTGTTATCTGCCTCAGTTTTTGTACACATAAAAAGGTAGTATTTACCAGTTTCTTAAGATTATTGTGGGAATTTGATCAGTAAATATAGAATTCTTCAGAAAGTTTGTGGAAATTGAATTAAAAGAAAGCTTATTTTGATGGAAAATGTGAAATTGTGCATTTTTTCATAATATTTACTTTGTCAGCTTTGTATAGATCCTCATATATGTATTGTAGTGGGAAACAGCTTTAGTTTACTAACCACAAAGTAATGCCTAATTAGTATCTTTTAAAGCCTTGATGTACTTTGCTCATGATTTTTTTTAAAGAGAATTATTGGTTACTATTGGTCTATTTAATGCCATCAGTGTTCAGACTGTCTAATTGGTTGAAGTAGTGATATTTTTAGCAGCTTTTTAATTGGATAATTATCAGCAAATGATTAATTTTCATTGGGGATTTACTGATTGACGTTGATCGTTCTAAAAAGCTTCAAAATGTGTTTCAGACTTATAAATGTTGACTTTTAATGTAACAAAACTTATTAAAACCCAGGTGAAAAATCTAATTCCATTTGTTTTTTGTTCTGCTAATGCTCTCAGGTTTGTGACTGGCTGTACCCTCTAGTTCCTGATAGATCTCCGGTTCTGAAATGCACTGTGGGAGCTTACATGTTCCCGGATACAATGCTACAAGCAGCAGGATGCTTTGTCGGGGTAGTATTGTCCTCTGAGTTACCGGAAGATGATCGAGAACTCTTCGAGGATCTCTTAAGACAGATGTCTGACCTCCGACTCCAGGTGACTTGTGATCTTCTCTAGGATGGTAATCTACTTTGGCATAAGCGCTTGTGCTTTTTAAGGAAGTTGTAATAACCTGTAATGTTATCAGAGTTAGAAGACTATATAATTTGTATGTTCACAACTACTGTTGGGAACTTGTTGTAAATGTTTTTTAATATTGTAGATTCTGGAATCAAGTTTCCTGAGTTCAAATTCAAACTTAACACGTAATAACTATGTACCTCAACTGTTACTGATCATCTGCATACTTAAGTGTCCTGATCATAAAATGGAGATGATAATAATAATCATGCCAGCCTCATTGCACTATGGGGAAGATTAATCTATTAAAATACTTATGTAGTTCTAACAGGTGGTAATTCTTTGAATATTAGCCAATATTTTCCCTTATGTTTTACTGCTTGGTGGTGATAGGGAACTGAATCACAAAGGGAAGGTAATTTTAACAGGTGAGTTACATCAGACATTTTAGGGGCATGAATGGCTTTTTGAGGAAGAAACATATTTGAGAGAATTACCTAAATCTCCTAGTATACGAAGGCCAGTTATGGAGAAAATACAGTGATATTTAAAATAAGATCAGACTGTAAGCTTTTTATATAGCTTGTTTCCTTTGGCCACATGCTTATTTGTTGAGAGTTCAAATATATTTTTATGGAGAGTCATTCTTTGGGTGATTTGCCATTCTTCCTGTATGACAAGATGGGAAGCATTGTTTTGGTTATGAATATTAACAGCATGGTAGTATAAACTTGTGTTCCCCTCCAATCAGTGGGCATTTGAAATCTGTTATTTAAACAGGCATTCACTATTACATAAAAGGGTTGGGAGAAGTGAGAACAAGGGATATCAGCAATATATAGAATAGCCTCTGTTCCCAAGAATGCCAGCGTGCTGAACAAGCCAATACATTAGGATAGGCAGCAGAAATTTAAGCTATGTTAAGACGACAGGTGAATTGCCCTACTGAGGTGTGTAGGCTCAGAGTGCTTGTGGAGCTTGATCGCATAGGCCTGGGTTCATCTTAACTGCTGTGTACTTACTTGGTGAAGTTACACTTTAACCTCATGTGGAGTTATTTTTCTTTCATGCATTGAACTTGGTATTGTTTTAGGAAAAAATTGAAAGAGTTTTACATTATTGTATAAGATTTTGTCTGTTAATGGCCAACAACTGCTTTCTGTTATCTTTTATGCTTTGACATTTATTGTAAAAGGTGAAAGACTTATACAATCTGAAGAGAAACCAGAGTCCGTAATGTCTAAACCAGAGAATTCCGAGGTTTGTGGTTGGGTGACATAACAAGAGGGAAAGAAGCATAAGTAGTTGTTACTGACATTGAACATGTATGTCATGAAGCATAATACAGCATACCTGGAAAAAGTCACTGAGAATATTCTGATTTGAGGTAAGCTTGGTGCTTTATTCCCTAGACCAACTGGAACAGAGCAGAGGAAGAAAGTGAATTCCAGATCCCTGGAAAAACAAGACAGCCCTCTGACCAACAGAAAGGAGCCTCTGGCACTGATGTGAGACAGCTGGGTCCTTCAGACCGAGGCAGCAAGGATGTGCGTCTTAAAGGAAAACGTGGAAAGAAGGTACGTCATGGAGCAGTGATAGTGTTTTAGGATCATTCATCACTTACATGCATTGAATTTTCTTTATGTATCAAGGCATAGAACTTGCTAAGAAGTGGAGTGAGTGACAAAGATCTATATCATGGTGGTTTTAGGTTTGAGTAATCTTACTTTGCTTAATAATGACCCCAAAGCAAGAGTAGTTGTGTTTGGCAATGTGGATATGTCAAAGAGAAGCCAGTGTTTTGCTTAAGTGAAAAAATGAAAGTTATGGACTTAATAAGGAAAGGAAAAAAGTCATATGCTGAAATGGCTAATATCTAAGATAAAAAGACATCTGTGAAATTCTGGAGGAAAAAGAAATTTGTGCTAGTTTTGTTGTTGCAAAAGATGGTGTGTTCTGTGTGTATTGTTGCTAATCTCCTCATTTGATGGTTTATAAATTAAACTTTATCATAGGCTAATATGCCTAGACCAGGAAAAAAGTAGGACATAGAAATCAGTACTAAAGTTCGGCATTCACCAGGGCCTTGATGTGTGGGACACGGGAGACTGTCTCTCTGCAGTCTGGTCAGTACAATTGGAGGTCTGTGTGTCTGTGTATTGACAATCTGATGGTGAACAATATCTTAATCTGTATTGATTTCAGTTTAAGTAATATTGAGCATATGTTCTGATAAGTCCTTTTAATGTTGTGTTCTGTCTTTGGTCTACATTCCTTTGTCTGTTTTTGACTATGTTGTAACCTTTTCTTTCTACTCAATTTTCAGGAGCTCCTTATAACTCAGGGATATTGACCCAATGTCCAAAATTGTAAATATTTGTTCAGTTTGTAGATTTTACTTATATGCTGCTTTTCCTTATGTATATTAAATTTAGTTTGTGTACTGCATCTGTGTGTATATATGTATTCAAATGAGCTTATTTATATTTCTGTAGGGCAGTTTGGTTTTAAAGTTATGATGCTGTAGGGTCTGAATTAGCCTGCTTGAAAGCACTTAAACTGAGTTACGTTTGCTTTGAGACTTTGAGTGCTGACCCTTGCTTTCACAGCAGCTGTTGAACTAGCCAATTGCAGGTGTTTGTTTTCCATCTCCATTTAAATGGAATAGTAGATTCTGTGTGTTTATTATTTCTTATTTCAAATTCAATACTTATTTGTTGTGTATGAAAACCAGTATTTGGATATCTCCTTACTGGTTAATTCATGTGATAGAAATCGTTGAACCTTACTGTGGTCTATGTGCATATTAAGATACCAGGTTGGTATCAGTATGAAGAAACTTTATCTAGTCAAGGAAAGAAGAAAATAATCAATTTAAATATGATTTGACAAATGTTATGTTGGTTAGGTTAGTATTTAAATCTTCCCAGTTGGGTATTATATAAAATCAAAATGGTTGTATACATTATAGCAGTTCTAGTATCATGCTTCATAAATATATAAATCTTACATTCAATGGTAGATAGTATTTGTTAATATTTTATTAATACTTTTTTATTTTTGAAACATTTTCACTGTTTAGACTAAAGATTCTTCAAGTGAAGAAGTTAATCTGAGTCACATTGTACCCTGTGAGCCAGTTTCAGAAGAAAAAGCAAAAGAATTACCCGAATGGAGTGAAAAAGTGGCTCAAAACATTTTGTCAGGTATTACAAAAATACTAATTTTATCCCTAGAGCTTGAAACTTTTGGAATCCAACAAAATATTGTAAGAAGATAGTTTGATGATATTTTGGATTTTGGTTTAACCAACTTATAAATACTTAAAAGATTCTAGTTTTTTAGCACATCACATTTTGCTAAGCTGGTATAAATTCTTCTGGTCTGATCCTTGTTTCACGTTTGAGAAAATTGGTAATGAGAGACTTTGGGCATCCCCATATCTCAGAATAGCTCTGAACATAAAATCAGGCAGCCCCACCCTTGTCCCTGCCAACTTTGGTTGAAATCTTCTCAAGGTGATGATATATAAGGAGGTGGGGCCTTCAGGAGGTGATAAGGTTTGAGGTAGGGGCCATTATGAGGATGAGGTTAGGCCCTTTAGTCCATTGTTGAAAGGCTCCAGAGAACCACCTTACCCTTTTGCAATGTGAGTGTGTCTTTTAAATAAGCAGACTATATTCTGGTAATGCTGATAAGGCATTGTACTTTGTCCTTCGGGCTAGATTTCTAATGATAGCCCTCCCTGTTGATCACAATAAAATAATTTAGCTATCTATTATTTGTCTCTTTGAGAGCTCCTTGAGTGCAGAATAAATAACAACTACTTCACCAAATGATTGTTGTACACATCAAAAGGAAGAGAAAATAGTAAATTTTTACTTCAGGGTGAAATATCTAACTTGTCAGGAGATTCTAATCCATGCAGGTTTTACTCACGCAGGATCAATAAATGAGTGACCAGCAATCTAAATTGAGTTCCTTCATCCTAGATTGTAGATCCTGTCTAATCTCAAAGACTAAGATTACTAAAAGCTAGTTTTAGATTTTATGAATAAAAAGGAAAACAACTATACCTAAAAATGTCCTGCAGAATGTTAGCTGAAGGACTTAGGTTGACACTAAAAGGATGGCTGCGATTGACTTTTGTTGGAATTGAGTCTGTAAGGAAGTAGATGGTTGGTGACAGTAGACTTCAGGCCACTGTCAGAGCAACCTACCCTAAAAATTTCTCAAAGTAAAGAGTTCTTGGAATGTCATGTTTAGATTGTGCTTTTTAGTGAATTGATATAAATGAGAGGAACAGAGGTTTTAGAAGTTGTGAGATAGCAAAAATTCATGAGGGGCATCTGAATGTATTTTCTCAGCTCCTCGGTTCAGTGAGTATGGATCGACTGTGGAACTCTGCACAATTACATTGTAAGCTCAAGCGATTACTTTCTGCCCATCCATTTCAGCAGTAAGGAGTCAATTATATTATACTCTTGTATTAGAGTTCTATAGAATTATTGTTGTATTAAGTTCTATAGAATTATATTTTATTTACCATCATTTCTGTGCCTGGCAAGGAGTTTTCCTGTTTGGTTAATCCATTCAATTAAATATACATATAGAATATAAATATAAAACACTGTAACATTCTGTGCCAGCTGTTTCTTTACAGGCATTCATCTGTCTGCATCTGGCAGCCTGTGTCCATGTCAGAGATCTAAATAGCTTCCAGTCCAGTTGGGCATCTTCCTTTTCTTCCATTGCAATTGCTATAGTTTTAACCTATTTACTAATACTGTGATCCTCATAGTGTATTGTCATTATTCACATCTATGTTTTTCCTTATTCTTGTATTTTTTCATTCTTGTTTATTTTTCTCCATTATCAGCAACTCTGTCACTTTTATTTGTATCCTAGAAATAGTGTCATTACAGGATTATTAGTCTCCTCTGTTTCCTTGTCACTTCATTATGGTTTCTCAGTCTTCCTCCAAATTCTGCTCATGTTTTGCTTCTTTTTTAAACTTTTCAACCTGTAAGTCAGCTCTAAAGCCTGGTATATTTACTTATTTGGAAATGCACATTTTCAAATGTTTTGTTGTTATGGTGCCTGGTCTGAGACCTGATTCTCCCCTAGAATTAGTTGCCAGGTAGGGCAATTGGGATCAGATTAGAGCTAGAGATGGTGTTGACTAAAACTGGAAGAGAAATGCATGAAGTATTCCTATCAGTTAACACGTATGGCTTTTTTTGGTTGAACTTTCTAAATAAGCAGATGTGATTTCACATGATTGGTGGAAGCTTGCTCTCTAATGGGCTGGATAATCAGGTAAAGCCATGGTGCAGGCCTTGAGAAAACATGCCCAAGTGTCTTGTGTTTCCAGCTTTTAAAAAGCTTGTCCTTTCAAGATGAGTCAAGAGGATATATTTTGAATTGTGAGCTCTGATACTGAGGGGTGTTTATAACACTGTACTGCCCTTTTTAGAAGTCTTCTAGTGCTTTTCATGGCCTCTCTCTCATCTCTCCCACTCCTCCTTTCCCTGTGTGTCCACTGACTGAGGTTTATTTCTTCAGTCTCATCCTGCTATCTCCTCTGGCAACGACTTCTGTCATTTAGTTTGCAAACAGCATGAGCCAAACAAAGTCAAGACCCACCAGCTGTCGTGAGAAATAGCATAATCATCTAAGGCCTCTCTCCATGTCCATTTTCTTTGAGGTGTTTCCTAGTTTTTTCATTTAAGTTCATGTAACAAATTAAAAGGTGATGAGTCTGGAGATTTAGGTTTCGATTGAGGAGGGAATAGGACCCCAGACCTGGTGCTTTTAGCCCAAAGCAATCAAGAGTGTGGCCTTAGTGTTAAGAGGTTCTTTGATTTCCAGTTTGTATCTTTCTTCCTCAGTATTTCATAGGCAAAAGTGATGCCTGGATTAACGCAAAAAGAACAACAATATCTGGGTCCTCCTGCCAAATACCATTTTAATGGCAGCAAAACTCAAAATTAGTACCTAACAGTAGTAAACTGTGGTAATACCTACAGATTTGTACGAGGTGTCATGGCAGCATAGAGTAATGCAGAAGAATCATCAAGTGACATTTGACCTAAGCAATGAAAAACTAATTTAGGTGGAAAAGGTGCATAGTTTAGGCAGAAAACTGTGGGTACAAAGTTGGCTTGAATGTTGATGGCATGGCATATTTGGGCTTTATCAGACTCCTTTCATATTTTTTTTCCCATACTGGTGGTATTTGTTAAAGATTTTAAAGGTATATTTGGCACTGATATTGTGTAACATTTTTCTTTAAAAAGGTGCTTCCTGGGTGAGTTGGGGTTTAGTCAAAGGTGCTGAATTTACTGGCAAAGCAATCCAGAAAGGTGCTTCTAAACTACGTGAACGTATTCAACCAGAAGAAAAACCAGTGGAAGTTAGTCCTGCTGTCTCCAAAGGACTATACATAGCGAAGCAGGCTACAGGAGGAGCAGCCAAAGTCAGTCAGTTCCTGGGTAAAGTAGCTATGAATATCCTTAATTTTATCTGCTTAAATTAAAAATAGTCATTTAACCTGAAATCATTGTAAGTGTTAAATGTTGTAATCTCAAAACTAAGAGGTACAAAGCGCTTTCATATAATTATTCCTGGTGGGACCTTCTAACCAACAATATCAGCTTAGCTAGAAGCCTTAGAAATGCAAGATTTAAGGTGCCTGACTCTACCTTTGTAAGATCCCAAGGTGATTCTTATTTGTATATTTAAGTTGGAGAAAATCTAGAGAAAGGCTTGTTGATGTATTACAGTGTATGTATCTTTAAAAGGAGCAGGGAATTCATTGCAAGAATTAGACATATTTCTGTAAGGGCAGCATCACTGCCGAGTAGTTGAAGGTCAAGAGGGAGGGTTATATTGCTTGAGAAAAGTTAACCTACTGGTTCTAGTGCCAGCAGTGCTAAGGCAAACCACTTTAACCCCTAGTTCCAAGTAACATTCATTGTGTGTATTGAAGCTTTCTGTTTTAACACGATTGTACAGTTCTTAATGAATTTTCATTACATGTAGTAAAATCTTTTTTGGTTTTTAGTATTCTTTCAAATCAAATACTGGATTATTTATGTCTTATGTATTTAAATACCTTATTGTTATTTCACTGGTCTGTTGATAGAAAAAACTCAAAATACACTTAGCTGGAAATCAGTTAAAGGGGTGTAACATAATCAGTTTTGCACCAGTTGTAGAAAAGGTACATGGTTTCCTCTTAAGCCAAGAGTTCTAGAACACGTGTATTTACGAGAGAAGATTATGGATATCAGTAAACTCTGCAGACACAGCTTTAAGTGAAAGGGTAGCCTTTAAAATAAAGTTATTAATGAGGCCTGGAACAGTAGCCTAGTGGCTAAAGTCCTTGCCTTGCACGCTCCAGGATCCTATCTGGGTGCCAGTTCGTGTCGCAGCGGCCCTGCTTCCTATCCAGCTGCCTGATTGTGGCCTGGGAAAGCAGTAGAGGATGGCCCAAAGCCTTGGGACCCTGCACCCACATGGGAGACATGAAAAATGCTCCTGGCTCCTGGCTTTGGATCACTTCAGTGATGACCTTTGTGGCCACTGGGAAGTGACTCGTCAGATGGAGGATCTTCTTCTCTGTCTCTCCTCCTCTCTGTATCTGACTTTCCAATAAAAATAAATAAATCTTAAAAAAAAAAATTAGCCAGTCTAGCTTCTCTCATCCTTAGGAGAATGGCAGTATCCAGAAAGACTATTTTAGGTGCTCATTTAAGAACTTTGTTTTATAAGAATAGCGAAATCAGGGAAAGAATAATTTTTTTTTTCTCTTCCCTATGGTCACATTAGTTGATGGAGTGTGCACGGTAGCAAATTGTGTTGGAAAAGAGTTAGCTCCACATGTCAAGAAACACGGCAGCAAACTTGTTCCGGAATCACTTAAAAGAGACAAAGATGGGAAGTCCCCTCTGGATGGTGCTTTGGTTGTTGCAGCAAGCAGTGTTCAAGGTAACTGACAGGCCCAGAAGTCTCACTTGGAATCTAGCTTTGGGCTATGTGTACTGACTTTTAAATGTGTTTGCAGGATTTTCTACTGTCTGGCAAGGATTAGAATGTGCTGCAAGATGCATTGTTGACAATGTTTCAGCAGAAACTGTACAAACTGTTAGATACAAGTAAGTTGAATTTTATCATTTTAAAAACTAAATACTTGTGGAGCCTTTATTAAAATCTCTTAACAGTTAAGATCACTATGTAGTTGTTTTGTCAATCGCTAATAAAATTTTTACTCTTTTTCCTAAGGAAAATACTATTTTAATATATTTGATCATGTTTTAATATACCTTTTTGAGCATGATATTTGCGTAAAATATATTGAATCGTAGTTAAGCTAGTATGCTCCTTCTCTGTTAAATTATGTTTCATCGTATTTTAACCCTAAGTTCCACCACAGTTTGGTCTTCTCACAGGAAAGTTACTTACCCTGGGTGATGACTTTGTGGCTCTTGTGAGACCTGTCTCTAGTTGATTCCTACTAAGATAACCATTCGTTAGAAGAGCTGCAGTTGCCCCCTCCCCATATATCACAAGAAGAAAATGTGTAAACAAAGGTCTCACCCACTATCCCCTGATCCTCGACCCTTCCCACCCTGATCAGCTATGTAAACATCATCAATAATAAAATTCACACACACACACAGAAGAGCTGCAGTTGGGGAAGAGTTAGATTTCAATATGTTGCTCAGATACAACACACAAAAATAAAGCTACAGCACACAAAATAACAGATTAATCACAAATCTGTGAGAACAGAGCAGTTTCTACAAAAGGTCAGTGGGAAACTGTTGCACAACCGGATCCTCAAGCAGCAGGGAGGGTGGGAAGACAAAGAGAACAGAGAGAGAAGGAGGAGAGGCCACCTACCAGACTAGATCTTTACTAAGGTTTGTGGGCATTATCCCATTGGCTTTGCACTACAGAATGTGTATTTTAACTTAAAGAAAACATACACGAGGAAAAGATACTTACATGACTCTAGTGTTGACCTTTAGGTATTGTCATAGTGAGTGACTGCAGCATAGGATTTTAAGAAAGTTTGGTTAGAAACAAGTAGGTTTTGTCACACTCCACCATACAGAGAGGAAAAGGTTTAAATGTAAGATGATAGAATAGTGCTGTATTTCAAACAGCTTATGTTAGGTTTAAACATGAATGCCAAGGAAGCAACACATTTTGATAGTTATTATTAAGATGAAATTTTAAAAGCTATCTTCCACTTTTAGCTCTTTATTCTTCTACCTGCATACATTCTTTACACATATTACAGGAATGAAGGTTTAAAAGCTAAATCTGGTATGAAGGACCTAAATTGCCTTTTAGCTTTGCATTGGTTTGGATCTTAGGTTTTTCAGTATATAGAAAAAAAGGTAACAGTAATTCTAATGGTGTTTGCAGCTTTTGCTTGGTTTTGTTAGCCATCTGTCCAATGACAACATTAATTCTTGTGTATCAGACATTGTGCTAAGTGCATGTGTAAAAAAGCCTGGCAACCACTGTCCTTGCTAGTTCTTCATAATTCATATTACTTTGCTCAAGTAATTCTCCAGCACTGTCTAACATCATGTTGTTAGGTATCTTCCCATTGCTGTATCGTCATTGGCTTAGGAATTGGTTTGATCTCCTCACTTCAGCGTACATGCATTTGAATCAAGACAACGTGGACATCATCTTGAACTGTCAGTTTTGCAGTTACTTTTGCCTTTGATTTAGGAACATGAAAACAAGAACAGTGACAGTCAATAAGTAATTTTAGACCTGTAGTGTAGTAGCATTTAAATAATTTATCTCTTTTCTGCATGGCTTCTAAATTTCACCTTTGAGTCTGTTCCATTTTAAATTATTTAGAGGAAAATAACAACAGAAAGTTTGACCCATTTTGTCTCCCAGAGCAGTATTTTCTCTTCAAATACATATTATAGAAAGCAAGTTTAATAGTAAATATTTTCCTGAAAGGAATTTATGGTTTACCAAAGCATTATTTTTATTGACTTGTTTAATGAAATTAATGAAAATGTACCAAATTAAGTTTGCTTTGGAGGAAAGGGTAAATGGAAGGGTAATGGTAAGTGTCATGTACTCAAAACCAGTTATATATAGTGATCTTCTCGGGAGTTACATAGAATGAGTTTTCTCCTTTGTGAGTGGTATCTGTACAAGTACCTAAATGCCATCACTATACCCATCATTTATCATTTAGGTAACGTCACTTCCTTTAATTAGCCCTTAAGTATTTTCAGATTATCCATTATACTCCTTTCCTTCTTGATTTTCATAGGGGTAAATTAAAATTTATTAGTGTTGTCAAAGAATATCATCCAGATGTGTTGTGAATAGATGAAATAGTGAAATTTCTTCCCTTATTATGACTGTTTTGTATTTGTGTGACACATGAGACAAAGATTATATTTTTGTATCAAGTTTTATATATGTGTATATGTATAGTTTTTTCTTTTATGATATAATTCAGTAGGCTTGGGGATTTCCCTTATCCTCTCCCCAAATTCCCTCCCCCCCAACTGATTTCTCCTATATTATTACAGTAGTATATCCTTCACAAACAGTCATAAGTCCATCATTCTGCTGTTTAAGTGTATCCTGACATTGTGGGTACAGACAATAGCAGAAAGCCCAGCATGCTATTGTTAAGATATCTAACAGTTTCATTGGGAGTCCATCTTTGATTTGAAAGGAGTGTAGTGTGCTGACTGCTGCTGTGTTATATGGTCACTGCAACAAGATTCTTTTGTCTCTACTGCTACCCCATGCCCAAGGGTCTCCAAGTACCTCTCTGCCATCAGCCTATCCTTTATTATATCCTGGAATCTGCCCTCTGTGCTTCACCCTGAGAAATATTTCTCCATCAGTTTAATTTTTTTTAAGATTTATTTTTATTATTTTTTTTTTATTGGAAAGGCAGATATACAGAGAGGAGAGACAGAGAGGAAGATCTTCCGTCCAATGATTCACTCCCCAAGTGAGCACAAGGGCCGATGCTATGCCGATCCAAAGCCAGGAGCCTCTTCCGGGTCTCCCACGTGGGTGCAGGGTCCCAAAGCTTTGGGCTGTCCTCGACTGCTTTCCCAGGCCACAGGCAGGGAGCTGGAAGGGAAGCGGGGCTGCCGGGATTAGAACCGGCGCCCATATGGGATCCCGGGCATGCAAGGCAAGGACCTTAACCACTTGCGCCACCGCGCCGGGCCCCCATCAGTTTAATTTTAATCTGCCAACTTGCTTTCTCCCAAGATGATAGATAGATACATAGATAGATAGGTAGATAGATAGATTATATATATATATGATTTATTTATTTTTATTAAATAGTCAAATATACTGAGAGGAGGAGAGACAGAAAGGAAGATCTTCCGTCCGCTCATTCACTTCCCGAGAGGCCACAATGGCCAGAGCTGAGCCAGTCTGAAGCCAGGAGCCTCTTCTGGGTCTCTTATGCGGGTGCAGGACCCCAAGGTTTTGGGCCGTCCTAGACTGCTTTCCCAGGCCACAAGCAGGGAGCTGAATGGGAAGTGGAGCCACTGGGACCAGAAGCAGTGCTGATATGGGATCCTGGCACATGCAAGGCAAGGACTTTAGTCACTAGGCTACCATGCTGGACCCAAAGATTATATTTTTAATAGCTGTTATTTTCATTAGTTGTTATCAAAGTTGAATTTTTAGAAAATAAGCTTCTAAAATCTGTATCTCTGTCATATCTTTATTTTTCATCTTTTATTTATATAAACAAATTGCATATATTTTATAAATAGATTTTTTTAAGATTTTTTTTTTTTAGTTGGAAAGCCAGATATACAGATAGAGGGAGAGACAGAGAGGAAGATCTTCCATCTGCTGATTCACTCCTCAAGTGGCTGCAACAGCCAGACCTAAGCTAATCCATAGCCAGGAGCCAGGAATGTCGTCCAGTTCTTACATGTGTATGGCCCCAAAGCATTGGGCTGTGCTTGACTGCTTACCCACTTCCACAAGCAGGGAACTGGATGGGAAGTGGGGCCTTAGAGACATGAACCAGTGCCTATATGAGATCCCAGCACGTGTAAGGTGAAGACTTTAACACCTAGGCTAGTGCAGTGGACCCATAAATATAGATTTAAGAGCCTAACAATACTTCCCCTCCTACCTTCTTTCCCACCCACACACCCACACTCTCTCCTTATTCCTCTCTTAGTTTTTAAGTTTTATAGTGGCACAGTTTCAGCTTATTTCATAATCACAAGCTTAACCCTTTGCTAAATAAATAATTCAATGAGTAGTAATTACTGTTCTCTAAGAGTATAGACATTGTAAACATTAATCATTTTAAAATTTTTAATTTCTGTCATACACATAACATTTTTTTGTATTCCACCCATTAGTTACCAAATATGAGAAAACATTTGGCCATTCTTCAGTTTGTTAACGTGCTGTGTATCATGGATTTAGATGATTGTTACTTGTATCTAAAATTAAAAACTTTCATTTATAGTTGCTTGATTTTGATTTGTTGATTCTGATCTGTCATTAAAGCATTTCTCCATTTTGGTTTTGGGAAAGGGTGAGAGTCTGTCAGGCTGTACCGCAGTACCCCCTGGCAGGCACAGGATCAGGTGCTGGGAATATACCTGTCAGGGGAACTGTGGGCATTCCCCTACTGGCAATACCTATAGCTGGTGAGCACAAGAACTGACTAAAATTGGGCATGGGTGGCAAAGGCTGCAGCTTCTGTCAGTGTGTGTTAGGCTAGTTGGGCTGAGCTAAAATGCAGCACTCACAGGTGTGTTCAAGAGCCGGATGCAAACAGGCCTGGGCAGGCATAGGCTTCTGCAGGGGCTAGCACTAAAAAAAGAAATCAGGGCTGGGGGTAGGCTTGGTGGAGGCTATTGGAGGTTGCTCCTAACTAGGCCACAACATTGGGTCTCTTGCAAGCTGGCAGGGCTGGGGCAGACCACACCAAGCTGCAAGTGCCAGAATGTGTGTTGGTGAATGACATACTAAACTTGACCCTGCACAGGCTAGTGAGTTCTGAGGTTACTGCAGGCAAGATTTCTCGGGGGACTCCTTGACTAGACTGCTGAACTCCGACCGCAGCCACAAGGAAGATCACGGGATGTGTGGTCTGATGCTGGAGTGCATGCATCAGGACTGAGTCTCCTCAGTTGTTGACGCCTGTGCAGTGGATACACAGGACATGATGGCCAGCTCATCTAGGCCAGCAGGGGACATCAACTGCTTTGTCAGAGGATGGAATGCACAACAGGTTGGACAGTTCTGGCAGGCTTTGCCGCATATTCCTGGGTCTGTGGATGCACTAAGGTGGACTTTGTCAACCGTAGACCCTTAAAGATTTCCTCAACCTTGGAGCAACAAAAACCAAAAACTTGTTAGAATTGTCAAAACCACTGAAGTAACACCCTAGGAATATACTTTCCAACATCAGGGTCTTTAAGATAACATCAAGAGGCTGACCCCATCCCTAGCTGTTGATATGGTTTGACAGCAAAGTGGTCCCCTTTCCCTCCCCTGCAGACACAAAGAGAAAAAAGAACTGAAACTGTCCCACCTATCTTTCTCCATAGCTAAACCTTCTACCCTAACTAGAGGCCTATATGAGGCTACATCCCTTTCAACTATGTAAACAATTTTTTTAAAAAATTTAAATGCTTTTAATTAAATAAGAATTGGCTGGTTGACAACCTTTGTTATAATTTACATTTTTTATTCAATCATCTTTATTACATCATTAGCTAATCTGCATTTATTTCCACACTGGTTTTCCAAAAGAAACGATACAGCTTTTTCACACAATGTAATTTCATCCTCTACTAAATTAAAACTCAAAGCCTGGATTTTGCTTTCAGGGAAAATGCAGTTGTAATATGCTTATTTAATACCAGTCAATAAAATCTTGTTTCATATTTATAACTTTATTGTATTTTTTCTTTTTAAAGATATGGGCACAATGCAGGAGAAGCTACACACCATGCAGTGGATTCTGCCATCAATGTTGGTGTAACTGCTTATAATGTTAACAACATTGGTATCAAAGCAGTGGTGAAGAAAACTGCAAAGCAAACAGGACACACACTCCTTGAGGACTATCAAATAGTTGATAACTCTCAGAGGGAAAATCAAGGAGGAGCAGCAGCTGTGTCAATGAGAGAGGAGGAAGATGAGCAGACAGATGATACAGAGAAGAAAGAGGCAAAGCAAGTGGCGAAGAAGAAATAAATGATAGAAGTGTTAAGAATTACCAATACCAAAGCCTTATTAGATGGAGAGGGTTTTGTTGCATATGCAAATGTGAAATTCCTCAGAGATTAGATGGTATTTTTAAAATAATCTTTTCTATAAAATGCTTGTCAAAAAATTTACGGCATGTAGTCTACTTACACAGAAAATCAGTATTGCATCTAGAGGCTTTTAAATATGTAACGACATTCTGTTTATTTTTTTTTACTACATGTAGCTAAAATATTTTTTGCAGTGAAAATAAACCAAATAAAACACGTGCTATAAACCTCATTAAAAACGAATGTTAAACTATTTTTGTATGTCTTATCTTCTAGAAAGCAAAGTAGGAAAGTATATATTTACATAAAATTTGGTATTTATGGTTTTCATTATATTAATAATTTTCAAGCTATTATCGCTTTTTGCACTATTGGTAGATTTTTTTGAATGTCAGAATTTTCAGTCTGTAAGCTAAACCAAAACTGTGAACTTAGAATTATGAGCTAACATTTTTAAGACTTGGAAAATAAGGAAGAAGCTGTTTGTGAAAGATAAAGTGCAGTTATATATTTTTTGGTAACTTGCCTATTTCTTAGGAAATAGAATCATAACTTTGATTTTAAAAACTGGATAGATCTTTTAAGTCTTCCAGCGTAAGGCTGGTACTAATAAAAGCATAAAGATTATTATCAGCAGAGTTAGACAAAAAGTTACTTAAAGAAATAATTTTACCATGTCTTTTCTAAGTTTTCCAAAACACTATAACTTTGTAAAAACTAAAATCTAAACAGAACTGAATTTATAGTGGTAAATTTGTGTTTCTGGTGGATTCAGCCATTGGAATTTAAACTAGTCATTAGAAAGGAAAACTTTTATTTGTAATCACTTGGGTTAATGTGTTCTGTACTTGTCCAGTGGCTTTTACTTAGCGGATAGAACTCACAGACCTTTCTTTCTGAGTAGATAACTAATTGCAGTTAGCTTGTACTGATTTTGAAAGGTTAATATTGGTTTTCATAGTTGTAGTCCATTGTATTCATTTCTTTACCTCTAGTAGATACTCAGATTTCTTAGACTTTATTTGAAACTATCTAATGAGTGTACATTGTCAATAAAATTGTATGGCCTAAAGTGTGTTTGTGAGCTTGTGCTTTGGGAACATACATTGGTGGTACTTTTCCTAAAACCTCATATAGTTTCCAAATGGGTTTGGTAACTGCCTTGCAATCAATTCTACTTTGTTAAAATCTGTAAGAAATGGAACCTAGAGTTTTAAAAATTGCCTTGGCCAAAGGTCAGCAAATACCTGTAGCAAATAACCAGCTGCTACCTGTTTTCATGAAATTGGTGGAGCACATCCCATTCACATATTGGCCCTGGATAATCTGCAGTACAGCAGAAGGGTTGAGGAAGGGAAGGGAAGGAAAGGGAAGACAGAATGGAAGGGAAGGTGAAGAATCTGAGTTTCAAAATCCCAAGCATTTGTTCATGGCTCATTGCTGCTAAGAAACTGTATGAGCTTGCAGGCCAAAAGGCCTATGTGACCTTTAGCAGTCTATGTGACCATTAGAATTGGGTCCCAATTCTTATGACTCAAGGCCCATCTAAGTCTGGTTATCTCACAGGTAATTCCAAGTAATTAAGTGGGTGTTTACCTTAGTTGCTGGAGGCATGGGCTGTCCAGCCAAGATAGGTAAGGGAATGTGTGCTATTTCCCCTCACCTTGCAGACAATTGTGAATTTTCTGTTTTCAAGCTATTGTGGACTGCATGTGTAAAAACCCTACAGATATTGTTTGTGGCCACACTCCTGATAAGGGGTGTTGGTCAGCCATATTCCAGCTCACAACAAAGAACCCAGACTCCGAACTTCAATAAACCATCCTACTGAACTTGGATCAACTTAGGTCTACTGGTGATTCCTGGGGATCTGAAAAGCAGGGCACAACAAAGGAAAAACAGAAGTGAAGACGGTAAGGAAGCAAAGGTAAGTAGGAGGGAAGGGAATGGGGAAGAGAAGACACAAAAGAAGGGAAGGGAAGGCAGGGTAAGATGGAAAGAAATGGAAGGGAACACAGGGAAGGTAAGACGGAAGGGAAGAGAAGATAAAGGAGGATGGAAAAGAAAGGGAAGACGAAAAGGGAACAGATGTGAAGAGAAGGGAAGGGAAGACGGAAGGGGACACAGGAAGGGAAAGGAAGATGGAAATGAAGTAAAGGATAGAAAAGGGAAGATAGGACGCGAAGAGAATACTGAAAGAAAGGGACGATGGAAGAGAAGAGAAGACGGAAAGGAAGGAAAGATGGACAGGAAGGGAAGAAAAGGGAAACAGGAAAGGAGGAGAAGGGAAAACAGGAAGCTAATCTGAAGCGAAGACAAAAGGGAATGGAAGGGAAGATGGATGGGAAGAAAGAAGAAGGGAGGGAAGAAAACAGCAGAAGGAAGGGAAGAGAAGGGAAACAGGAAAGGAAGGCAGAAAGGGAAAAAGGGAAAGGAAGAGAAGGGAAGACGGAAAGGGAAGGGAAGACAAAATGGATGGGAAGGAAAGTCAGAACGTACGGAGGGGAAGAAAGGAGGGAAGACTGAAAGGATTGCAAGGTAAGATGGATGGGAAGAGAAGGAAATTATCAGATGGAAAAGGAAAAGGGAAAACAGGAAGGAAAGGGGGGAAAGACAAACTGGAAGAGAAAGGAAGACATAAAAGAGGAAGGGAAGATGGAAAGGAAGAGAAGGGAAGACAAACAGAAGTGGGAGGGAAGGAAAGAAGGAAAGGAAGAGAAACGAAGATGGACAGGAAGTGAAGGAGGGTCGGAATTGTGAAGAGGGGCAGATGGAAAGGATTGAAAGGTAAGATGGACAGGAAACGAAGGAAATTAACAGATATGTGAATGGAGGAGAAGGGAAAACAACCAGGAAGGGAAAGGGAGACAGAAGTGAAGGGAAGAGAAGACGGACAGGAGAGGAAGAGAAGGGAGCACGGAAGGAAAAAGGGAAACACGGGGGAAGGGAAGACAGAAAAGGCCAGAAGAACAGAAAGGGAAGAGAGGTTGTATAGTACAGGAAGAGAAGGAAAGACGGAAAGGAAGTGAAGGGAAGATGGACAGCAAGGGAAAATAACGGAAGAAGGAAGGGAAGAGAAGGGTAACGTATAGGTAGGGAAAGACAGAAAGGAAGGGAATGAAATTCGGATACATACGGTGGGAAGACAAAAGGATTCTAAGGTAAGATGGACAGGAAGTGAAAGAAATCAACTGAGGTGCAAAGGGAGGAGAAGGGAAAAAAGGAAGGGAAGGGAAGACACAGGGGAAGGGAAGGGAAAACACAGGGGAAGGGAAGGGCAGACAGGAGGGGAAGTGAAGGGACGACAGAAGGGAAGGGAAGAGAAGGGAAGATGGACAGGAAGGGAAGAGAGGGTAAATCGTACAGGAAGAGAAGATGGACAGGAAGGGAAGAGAAGGAAAAAAAGGAAGGGAAGAGAAGGGAAGATGGACAGGAAAGGAAGAAAAGGTCAGAAGGACAGGAAGGGGAAGAGAAGGTAAATCGTACAGGAAGAGATGGGAAGACGGACAGGAAGGGAAGAGAAGGTAAATTGTACAGGAAGAGAAGGGAAGACGGAGAGGAACGGAAGGGAAGACAGACAGGAAGGGAATAGAAGGGAAGAAGGAAGTGAAGAGAAGGCCAGAAAGACAGGAAGGGAAGAGAAGGGAAGACAGACAGGAAGGGAAGAAAGGCCAGAAGGACAGGAAGGGAAGAGAAGGTAAATAGTACAGGAAGAGAAGGGAAGACAGGAAGGAAAGGATGGGAAGACGGACAGGAATGGAAGATAAAGGAAGAAGGAAGAAAAGGGAAGGGAAGACAGGAAGGGAAGAAAAGGCCAGAAGGACAGGAAGGGAGGGGAAGACAGGAACAGAAACAAAGGGAAGAGAAGGGAAGACGGACGGGAAGGGAAGAAAAGGTCAGAACGAAAGGAAGGTAATAGAAAGTAAATCGTACAGGAAGAGAATGGAAGACGGAAAGGAAAGTAAGGGAAGACGGACAGGAAGGGAAGGGAAGGGAAGACAGAAGGGAATGGAAGAGAAGGAAAGACGGACAGGAAGGGAAGAGAAGAGTAGAGGTACAGGTAGGGAGGGGAAGATGGTCAGGAACGAAAGCAAAGGAAAGAAGGAAGGGAAAAGAAGGGAAGATGGACAGGAAAGGAAGGCGGAAAGGGAGAAAGTGAAGACGTACAAGAGGGAAGGGAAGACGGAAAGGAAGGGAAGACGGACAGGAAAGGAAGAGAAGGGAAGACGGAAAGAAGAACAGGAGGGGAAGAGAAGGGAAGAAGGAAGGGAAGAAAAGGAAAGAAGGGAAGGGAACGAAATTCGGATACGTACGGTGGGAAGACAGAAAGATTGTAACGTAAGATGGATAGGAAGTGAAAGAAATTAACAGGTGCAAAGGGAGGAGAAGGGAAAACAAACTGGAAGGGAAGGGAAGGCAAGGGAAAGGAAGGGCAGACAGGAGGGGAAGAGAAGGGAAGACAGAAGGGAAGCGAAGGAAAGACGGACAGGAAGGGAAGGGAGGGTAAATCGTACAGGAAGAGAAGGAAAGACGGAGAGGAAAGGATGGGAAGAAGGAAGGGAAGAGAAGGGAAGACGGACAGGAAGGGAAGAAAAGGAAACAAGAAAAGGAAGAGAAGGGAAGATGGACAGGAAGGGAAGCGAAGGAAAGACGGACAGGAAGGGAAGAGAAGGTAAATAGTACAGGAAGAGAAGGGAAGTTGGACAGGAAGGGAAGTTGGACAGGAAAGGAAGGCGGAAGGGAAGGGAAGACGTACAAGAAGAAAGGGAAGACGGAAAGGAAAGGAAGGGAAGATGGACAGGAAGGGAAGAGAAGGGAAGACGGACAGGAAGGGAATAAAAGGAAGAAGGAACGAAGAGAAGGGTATATGAGAGGAAGCTCATCCGAAGGGACGAGAATGGAAGACAGACAGGAAGAGAAGAGAAGGAAGGGAAGACGTACAGGTAGGGAGGGGAAGATGGACAGGAACGGAAGCAAAGGGAAGAAGGAAGGGAAGGGTTAAGAAGGAAAAACGTACAGAATGGGAAGTGACGATTGAAAGGAAGGGAAGGGTGATGGACAGGAAAGGAAGAGAAGGGCAGACGGAAAGAGGAACAGGAGGGGAAGAAAAGGGAAGAAGGTAGGGAAGACAAGTGCAGACAGACAGGAAGGGACGAAAAGGTAATTCAGGCAGTAATTTTTGTTTGCTTGGTTGGTTGGAGATTTAGTTATCTGAAGGACTGAGAGACCTTTCCAAATGGTGGTTCACCTGTACAATGGCTGCCTCTTGGGCCGGGCCAGGCAGATACCGGGAGCTGGTATAGGAACCCATCTAGGCTTGCTGAGCGCCAAGTGAACCCCCAGAATGGAGCGGGACAGCAATTGCCTGTCTTGGCAGGCGCAGGGTCTCATGGGCGTTCCCCAGGCGGTCGCTGCGAGGCCCTGTGACGTGTCCACGTGACGCACCGGGGCTGCCGGGAGCCCGCAAGCTGCTCAGGCCGCTTTCCTTCCGGCCCGTGGGTGTCCCTTCAGGCCTGCCCTGACCCGAGCTGCTGCTATGGGGGAGGGTGGGGTGGAAAACTTCGATGGTGTGAGCACTGACCGCCTTAAACTGGAGTTGCTGGAAGAAATCCACTTGAAGTGAGTTCCTGGCGCGCGGCCTTGTGTGCATAGTGAGGGAGCTCGCGCCCTGGGGAGGCATCCTCCTGGGGTTCCTGGGGGAGGCATCCTCCTGGGGTTCCTGCCATTTCCTGCCGCTCAGCACAGCCGTGGAGGTCGCAGGCTTGAAGGACCAAATTGGATGATGTGTATTATCTAGTATAATCCTAAAATCGTGTGTAACGGGTTTTATTCATAACTGTCAGAGAAAATTTAGACTTATTTTGCAGCTCTTTTTATCTTCAGAACATGAGTCATTAGGAATGTGTGAACTATTTTTGTTTTAAGTTACTTGAATCTGTTCTGTACAGATAATCGGATTTGCTAATCAAAGTATATTTGGATCAGTTTTTGGTAGAGTTGTTTTTAGTTAGCTTTTTGTATTCTAAAAGATTAACTTTTTGAATATTCATTTATTTGAAAGGAAGAGGGATA